ATCACCTCATACCAGTCAGAATGGCCATCATTAAAAAGTGTACAAATAATAAATGCTGGAGAGGGTGTGGATAAAAAGGAACCCTCCCACACTGTGGGAATGTAAATTGGTGCAGCCATTATGGAGAACAGTATGGAGGTTCCTTAAAAAACTAAAAATAGAGCTATCATATGATCCAGCAATCCCACTGCTGGGCATATATCCAGAGAAAACCATAATTCGAAGAGATGCATGCACCCCTATGTTCATAGCAGCACTATTTAAAATAGCCAAGACGTGGAAGCAACCTAAATGTCCATCAACAGATGAATGGATAAAGAAGATGTGGTTCGTACACACACACACACACACACACACACACACACACACACACACAGGAATATTACTCAGCCATAAAAAAAGAATGAAATAATGCCATTTGCAGCAACATGGATGGACCTAGAGATTATCATATTAAGTGAAGTAAGTCAGACAGAGAAAGGTAAATATGTAATATCACTTATATGTGGAATCTAAAAAAATGGTACAAATGAACTTATTTACAAAGCAGAAATAGACTCACAGACATAGAAAACAAACTTAGGGTTACCAAAGGGGATACTTGGAGCAGGGGGAGAGACAAATTAGGAGTTTTGGATTAACACATACATGCTACTATGTATAAAATAGGGAAACAACAAGGACCTACTGTATAGCACAAGGAACCATACTCATATCTTGTAATAACCTATAATGGAAAAGAATCTGAAAAAGAATATATGTATAACTGAATCACTTTGCTATACACGTGAAAGTAACACATTGTAAATTAACTATACTTCAATTAAAAAAATAGATTCATAATAACAAAAAAGTGGTTGACTATATTAGTTTTAATATGTATTAAATACCAAACTGAAAAAGAAATAAGAAAATAGGTACTCATAATGTTGCTGGTAAGAGTATAAGTTGGTACAACTGCAGTAGAAGGCAATACGGTGATGTCTTGCAAAATCACAAATCCATACAACTTTTAACTCAGAAGTTCTACTTCTAAAATGTATATCCTGTAGATATATTATTTACACATGTACACAATGACACAAGTACAAGGTTATTCACAGCAGCATTATGTTTACTAGTTAAGATTGGAAACAACCTGAATGTCCATTCTCAAGGAACTGGCTACATAAATTATGGTACATTCAAACAAGAGAACACTGCATAGCTGAAAGAAGAATGAGAGCTCTTTTATGTATTGACATGGAATGATGTTCAAGATAATTGTTAGTTTAAAAAGATCAAGGGGGCTTCCCTGGTGGCGCAGTGGTTGAGAGTCTGCCTGCCGATGCAGGGAACACGGGTTCGTGCCCCGGTCCGGGAATATCCCACATGCCGCGGAGCGGCTGGGCCCGTGAGCCATGGCCGCTGAGCCTGCGCGTCAGGAGCCTGTGCTCCGCAACGCGAGAGGCCACAACAGTGAGAGGCCCGCGTACCGCAAAAAAAAAAAAAAAGCAAGGTGTAAAAAAGTGTTTACAGTGGGCTACCATTTGTGTAAAAAAGTGAGAGTAAAGTGCGTCAATATATGGATTAGATTGAACCATATGAAATTGCCATTATTAGGCTGTTTTGACCTGCAAAAATGATGACGACTTCCATTTGGTTCCACCTAATATTTGCTTGAAGTTACATAAAATCTCTTCAGAAATGTGCACTGTAAACTGATAGTATTCGTTGTCTTGGATGGGAGGCAGAGCTGAGTTAACTAGGGGGCAAGGAGGAGATTTTGAACACCGTGAATATTAAATCATGGGGATGTACTACCTATTTAAAAACTGATTCACTTAAAAATTATATATAAGTAAATAAAATAGATAAATGTGGCTGAGTAGTATCATTTTCTCATCTTGCTCTAGAATGAAACTGAGAAATATGTTCCTACACTGAAGCAACCAAACAGTTTAGTTTAGTTTCCTTTTTCCTTCCACTGTGCCAGAAGATTCTGCAAATTATCTTAAGATATCTTATCCAGGAAGAAATCAGAGCCTTCAGTGTTTTTGAAAAAAAGAAGACAATATCTATATCACTAATCCTGCCCATAGAGACTTTCTGAGTATTTCTTCCCAGTGACTTCAACTTCTGAGTCTACTTTAATGACTCAAGTACATTAATTAGCAAATGGAACAGTGAAGAAGAATGGAAATGTTAAACCAGATATGAATATGAACACATTAAAAAGAAAATGACTGAGTCTCTATTCCTATTCTATAGATTATTTGTTGTAGTGGACATGATGAAAACCATTTCCTCAACTACTCAGGTGATAACTCAAGAGGTGGAAATGTCAAAAGAGAGGTTAAACTTAGATTCACCTTTTAAAATGATTTGTATGTCAAGTGACTTAAATTTTTATGAATTGAAATGTCCAAGCTAGGGACCAGTTCTGTACTAAACAAAGCAGCTTGTCTTTAGCTGGACACTGGAACATGAGGGGTGTTGCTAAACGTAAGGAGTTTTCAAGGAGAAGACACAACCTGTATTACTGAAGGCTAACACCTTTTGTTTTCTGTTTCTTGAAAGAATACACAGAGAAGCAACCCAGAAATTTTCCTGAGAAAATGCATCTATACAGAAAAGGACCTTTTTACTTTTCCAAATATATACAAATTAATTTTTCAATGTGCAAAATTACCAGCTCAAGAATTAGCATATACTGTTATAAGGTCATACAAGAATGATAGTTTGAAGAAGCACCTATTTAAGGACTGTCTGCAGTAAGCAAACATCTGGTAAATTTTCTCTTTTCTCGAAATATAGGTACCAAAAATCCATAAATGACCTGAGGTTTTGCTGCAGCCCTGGGAGTTCATTTATTCATTGGACAAATATGTACTGCTACTGTGTATAAAACATGGTCACTTGTATCACAAGAGTGATCAAAAAACAACAACACACGCACACACCAGGCTTATTTGTTTTGTGTTACATGTAATCTTTTCACATTCTTTGAAAATTGTTAACCTGGTTATTAACTCATGTGTATGCTTTCAGTTAACCAGAGTATTAAACTTATGAGCCCTTTCCGAGCTCATTCTGTGTAAATGAGAACTCGCCGCATCTATAGCTCCTGTCTCATCCCCCATCCTGCTTGTGCCGGTCTCCTGAGACGTTCTCTGCTGTTTTAGAACTCTATGCCCAGCTTCATTTAATTGGAAGTGAGCATTTCTAAAATGGGTCTAAGGTCAAAATGGACTCTGCTTCCCTCACAACAGCAGGATTAGAGACCATTTCCTCCACTGTGGGGTGCAGTGACCTGAGAAAACACAGTTGCCTGTTAAAATTCCTTCTACTTGTTTCGTGCTTTAAAGCTCACAGAGTACTTTCGTGGCCACCACCTTAGTTCATTCTCATAATAAGCCCATGTAGTAAATGTGCAAATACCATTTTCCTCATTTAACAGTGAGGCATCAAGACTACAAAAGGTCTTCAGACCTGCCCAAGTGGTGTGACTGGGGTTAGAAGCCAGTCCCTGGAATCAATGCAGAGAATGGTGAGCATGTGAGGAGTGGGCCACATGCAGCAACTTTATACCCAGGTTAGAAAGAATAATCATGATGTGCTTGTCAGGGAATCCACACACATGTCAAAGCTCATCTAGAAATCCGGAAAGATGAATGATTACAACTGTGTCCAGATGGACTTGCCTATGTGAATGGTACCAGGTATTTACTTTCATTTTGTAGGGCAGTGGATTTGAAGTTGTGCCTGTAGTTTGCTCTATCCCAGACACTAAACAATTCCGTTTCCTTGAAGATGCTAAAGGAGCTTTCTTTGGCATTCAATAACAGTTTCACAGTGTGATTAGTTTATATCTCACGTCCGAAGAGAGCTCCAACTTGCACATCCTAGACAACTTTGTAGCCCCTCGCTTCTTTGAATTGATGTAGATTGCTTTGTGTCTGCAAAATTAATCCAGGCCTTTTTTTTTTTTTTTTTCTAGCCCACTGCTTATGAAAAGACTTCTGTGCCCAGTAAGAAGGAAAACATGGATGACTCGGACATGAGTTACTCAAGTTACATATCTAGCAGACTCCCTTCAGTTGAACTCAAGGGAGAAATAGAGAAACCCCCCACGACTTCAGGGCAAGGAACAGCACCCAAAGGCACTGCTAAATCCATTGCCCTGCCTAGAACCAAAAAGAAACTCAAACAACGCTGAACAGTACAGAAACAGAGCTGCTCTTTCTAGTGCAATGAGGGTTTAGGAGGGGAAAAGGACAATAGTATGCCGAGCTTTCAGCGTTTCAGCCGCCCTGAGCCCTGCCAAGTGTTTGCACCAGTTTTAAAATTGAAGCAGTCAACTCCGAAGTGGGGTTAAAGGATAGCCAGCAACAGGCCTGATGGCTTGTGCAGCTGAAATCAACTCAAGGTGTTTTCGAGAGTTGTTCAGAGGAGTGGATGCCCTCAAAGCAAGGCTGTGGGCACACTTGTCCAGTTGTACTTCAGATTCTTACATTTAGGCACAATTATTTGTAGGGGAAACTGAGAGCCAGAACCTCAGTGGAGGTTCCAAATGATTATGTGCACTTTGCACTAGAAGATTTGTTAGGAAATTACTAATAAACTTGTCTATAAGCGTAACAGCAGAGTGCTTCAGCCATTCACGTGTGTTCTTGTAATTTTAGGTTGCTGTAGATGGTTTAAGACAGCTTATTTTAAATGTAGAAAAATAGATTTTGTAACTGTTTGCCATTAACTTGCTGCTAAATTCCCAACGTATCGATCGAATCGATAAAAAACCAGATGTCACCCACGCACGTTAATTTTTACGTGAACAAGAGGTGACTATAATCAGGTCCTCTAAGCCCTAAAAAGCAAATTTTGAGCTTGGCCTGCTGCTGCAAAGGTAGGCACACATCTTTGGGGATGGTCATGAGGCTGGACACAGGGGAAGGTACGTCATTCCTCTTAGTATTATAGGTCTCTCCTTTGCAGCTGGACAAATAGTTTTGTCATTCTAGGTCACACTGGGTGAAGAGATGCTTCCCTTGGCCTCACAGACAAGCTCTGAGGAAGCAATTTGCATCTGCTTTTGCCTTTATAAAGTAAGTAACCTAGGTTCATTCCAGCTCCTCGTGGGATTGTCACTTAAGCCTCCAAAATGCCCCACACCTGGCCAGCTGAGCAGGTCCTAGTTGCACATAAATCCCCTCAATGGCTGAAGGTAGTAGACGTGCTTCTAGTGATCAATTTGGAAGACACCGTCCAGCCTCCAAATGGGTCAGAGATAACACTGACGTATGTTGCCCCTGGCTGAGTAGTTTGGCCAGTATTTTCTCAGTGCCTTCAATGTGCTTCCCCGGGGGAATCTGCCAGCTTTACTTTAAAACTGGAGTTGAAGCTTCTTCAAGGTCTTTCTCCTTCCTGACTATTACTTCCAATCCTGCCAGGAGCCCGTAAACCATCTCTCCGGGATTAGTGAGCCATCTTTGAGGAGCGTATTCTGTTCACCTACAGAGAAGCCAGTCTCAGCTGAGTGGAGATTTACGTTTCCCAGAGGTGCTCCCAGAGGCAGAGGTGAGGTGACTGGTCTCCCGGCAGAAAAGCCAACCGAGACAGTGGCTTGGATTCTGTCCTTCCCCTGGGCCCGAAAATGGGATAGTTCCTGTGTTCAAAACTGCTCTTACTTTCATGTGATACCTTCTTCTCTATCATGTATTGAAGAACTCTTGTTAAATTGAATAGTATCCAAATTTCTATCCACATTTCTCTTCAGTCTTTTTGTTTTTTTTAATTGGGGTATAGTTGTTTTACAATGTTGTGTTAGTTTCTGCTGTACAGCGAAGTAGAGTTCCCTGTGCTATACAGCAGGTTCTCATTAGTTATCTCTTTTACACTTATTAGTGTGTATATGTCAATCCCAATCTCCCAGTTCATCACACCCCCCACTTTCCCCCCTTGGTATCCATACGTTTGTTCTCTACATCTGTGTCTATTTCTGCCTTGCAAACCGGTTCATCTGTACCATTCTCTTCAGTCTTAAATTAGTGATTCTGCTCAGTAAACTTGAGCAAAGGTCCAGAACTAAGCACTAAGTGAAAGGTGAAGTCATTTTATAACGTTTTAGTACATCTGTACCTTTTCCCACCCCAGCACCAGGCCAGGCCAGCTGTCCATCTACCAGAAAATGCGTTCTATTAGCTGTCCTCTGTGCAGACCTTCGCTTGATCTACATGGAATCATTTTGACCGGGACTTAGCTCACTCTTTCTAAAGAGAATATTCGTATTATTTCTATTTGTTATTTATTTGTATGGAACACACTTGGGCCAGGCCATATGTGAGCTTTGTTTTCCAACTGTGTACCTCTTTACTATCTGGGGATCTGTGGCCTTGCTTTCTCCATTTACTTTCATGGCTGTGAAAATAGTTACTCTTCTGTTTCAGATGTGTTTTCAGTGACTGCTAGGCCCACTCCAGGGCACTGATAATCACTCTGACACCTCCTGTGCACCACGGCATGGAGGGCTGGGCTTCGTTATGACCCACAGGGACACAGTCTGCCCAGGACAGTGCAGAGCAGGTGTTATTTCCAAGGAATGCAAATGCCAGTCAACACTCTGACTTGAGTAAAAGACAGGTCAAGGCAGTAGGAATATGATAAAAGATAAATGCCAGCCGGGGGCTGGGGAGAAGTTCAGCTGAGGAGAACAAGAGGATGGCAGAGACGGACTTAAATCACAGAAGACAGGAAAATGGGTTGGGGTCAGGGGAGCAAAAAGAACAAAGTGTAATTAATAAGGAAGACTGGTTGGATAACAGCACATGGTTCTGCCAAACCCGGAAGCAGGAGTCAGAGGACGAAAGTGCTCCTGGGGTAATTAGAGAGGTCCCTGTCCTAGGCCAGTCTGCATTAGGACTGGCCTCTCGTGGCCTGGACAGCAGCACAGCTGGGTGAGGACACAGGCTGAAGAACAAAGACCCAGGGAAATGGAAGCTGAGAGAGGCCGGTTGTAAGAGGTGGCCACAGAATAGTCCTGACATTTTGAGCAGGAATGTTATGCTGCGTAGGGAGGGGAAAGGAGAAAAAATTCAAAACACTTTGTGCTTATCACTGAAATGCTTTGTTTAAATAATTCTGTTTGACTCCAAAATGTAAGTTCCAGGTTAGAAAGATTGAAAGCAGCCAGTCTTGAAAATGAAGCTTTTTAAATTCCAGCCCTGCTGTTGGAATAGAGAATAAAGGCTTTGTTCAAACATGCATTCCCAGCAGTAAGCAGAGCTTTGAAATTGGCCAGGGAAGTTGTGTTCCATAATGGCTGCACTTGGCTGGAGACCAAGAAGCTGTGGCCTCTGGGAAATGACCCTGGGCTGGATATTTTCCATCTGCCCCTCCAGAACCACTCTGCCCTGCTCTGCCCTCTCCACTCAGAGAAGTGATCTTTCAGGAGTGAATTAACAGGCTCCCTTGGCCTCTGGCTTCGCTGGGCTTCTGTCAGTGGGGGACACCAACAGGCACTCAGGGAGGGGAGAGGTCTAGGCCTTGATTCCCCCAGTGCTGGGCCACTGGGAAGTCACTGCATTCTCTTTCTATAGATCTGAGCTCCTGCCGGCAGCGCTCCCTCACAGCTGTGTTCCCTGCCCCTTCAGGCTAAGACCAGGGCTATTGCCCTGGGGACTGTGTCTTCCTTCATGGGTTTCCCTAAACTCTCTGGTACCTTTACAAGTAGCCTCTTTGTTAGATTCTCAACTACCCCGTTTGAGTGAGTACCATCTGTCTCCTCCTGACACCCAAGGTGATCCAGACCCTTGTCAGTTCTGCATTGTTTTGACCTGGGGCAGCTTTGTCTATGGTTGCCAATCTCCTACCAAATGACAGTAAAGTGAAGAGCAGAGAGCATAAATGGGTTCTTCCTGAAACAAACTGATGCCCTTGGGTGGTCACTGGGGCTTGAGCGAGGGGGTGACAGGGGAGATATTCCTGAGGTTGGAACCTAGACCCAGTGAGATAAATCTAGCATTGCCCAGGTGGATCTGAGATTGTGTGGACCCAGAAGGCTGAAATTTAGGTCTTAAATTCCAACCATGGCCTCTGGGAGCCTAAAAGAAAGCCACCCTTGACTTGTAACAGCCAAGAGGACCTACAGGCTGGGACGGGAGCTACCCTCGCCGTCTCCTGGCTGTGGACTCAGGGCTCAGCAGAGGCTTCCAGGGCAAGCACAGGCAGCCTGAAGACAAGACGTCTCCCTGGGCTGTGCATTTGTTTCTTCTCTACAAGTGCTAACGTCCCTTTACAAAGCATTTTAAAGTAAAACCTTTCGCTATTCAGAGGCCTCGCATAGTTCAGTTTTATTCTTCAGGATCCTGTGCTTTCCTGGGTGAGCAGGCTCAGGCTTGGGATTTCTGCTCAGCACATGGTTACCGCTTCATTCTCTCATGGGTGAGCCAATTTGCTTTGCTTTCGTTCTTCAGAGGAAGACCATAAGCAATGTCTGTCTTGCTTTTTTGTGGCTGCCTTCCTCAGTTGCTGGTATAATCTGCTCTCTCTGTTCCCTAAATTATCCGGAGCAGCCCTCAGCCGGAGCCATGCGGATTCCCACCACTGCCCCAGTGGCCTCACTTCAAGCAGCAACACACAGGAGACAGTGGAAAACTGGGAAGATTAATAGGGCTATGGCAGTGTCACCACTGGCTCTCTTAGAGCCTTCCCCTCTTGGTTGCCTGGTGCCACCCCAGACATCTTTGAGGGACCCAGCGAACTCAAGGTGAAGACCTCAGAGGACCTTCTCCGCAAAACATGCAGTGGTTCCTGGCCTGGCACAGAGGACAGACCCACAGATGCAGTGCAGACCCCTCCCCCCAGTATGAACTTCTCCTAAGTGGACTCTGCAGCATCTCCAGACCAGACATATCCTTGGCATTGATACAGAGGTTACATAAATCTCCCTGCCCTTGGGGGACTGAGACAGCTTTGACCCTCTCACCCACGGCGGGGTCTGCAGACAAGATCCTGACATCACCCTGTTGTTTAGGAGAGACTCTTCTCATCAGCACAGAAAGCTGTCTCCATCCCCGTGGCAACTGTACCGTCCCAGGAGTCAGCATTTCCAGTCTGACCAGGGGCAAGGCAGCAGCAGCCAGTATTTCCTGGTCCAGGCACTGGTTCACACTGAGTTTACTAGAGATCAGAGTCCCCTTGTTAGCTGGACTTTGAGCTGTATTAGTGGAAGCAATCACTGTCTCTTAACTAAAGCCCCTCTTCAGAGTCATAATGTAATAATAGCAGCAACATCTACAGAGCACTTGCCACATGCCAGACACCATCCTGAGCCCTTTACATGTATTCTTCTAATCCTTATAACAATCTCTAAAGAGGAATAAATTAAGGCACAGAGAGGTTGAGAAATTTGTCCAAGGTCACACAGCTAAGAAGTAGCAGAACCAAGATTTGAACGTAGGCAGCAGGCTCAAGTGTGTCTCCAGGCATTTGTAGTTCAGGCCTGAGACTGCTGTAAAGTTCAGTCTCAGAGTTCCAAAAGGCCAAGTGGTTCCTGAACATTCTGTCTTCCAGCAAAAGTCGAGGTAATTTTGTGAAGTTTGGGCCTTGAGGTTTCGGAACAGAGTAGGATTATTTTGCATGCTAATAAATTTGAGTAAGACCCACCCGCAGCCAGGGAGAGCTGCATTCTGCAGGACTTTGCATAATAAAAATAAGTTCTAAATGCTCTAACAGGTCATTGTCAGGAACAGTCTTTAGAAGCCTTTGAATATGTTTTTGACAGAAGAAAGAGAAGGGACTCCATTGCCTCCTCAGGAATTCACGCAAGCCGCCCTGTCTGTGCAAACATGATAGATTGATGCTTACCAGGCGCCAAGTGCTGTAATTCCTATCGCAGGGCAGTTAAGAATCACTATAAATGTTTTGATTTCCCATATTTCTTCATCAGGTAGTGTGTGTAGCTGTGAAAATATGGAGTTCACAAGTCAGCTGCTGGACCATTTCTCCACCCCGCCCTTCTCCAGTATCTCTAGCATTTGCCATCACTTACCACTTTAAGATAATGCCATGTGGAGTGATGCTTTTCCTTGTCATACAGACAGCTCCCTGCTTCAGGGAGCACAGACTGTTTCTGAAGGCTCGGACCCCTTCTGTGGTATAGGATGAGGCAAACATCTGCTCTGGAATGAAGCCCAGCAGCTAAGGGTGATGCCACCTGCCAGCCGCCGCCCATCTCTGAGTCTGCTGCCAGCGGCTGGTCCCCGGAGGAGAGAGGGAGTTCTTACACAGGATCCTCATTGCTGTTTTGGAACTTTGATAGAAAGGGCTTCTAATGGAAAAGATCCCAAAGCCCATTGAAATGGGTAATTTTTTACAAGAGTTGTTTTCCCTCCAGAAGCAGTTACCTGGTTGTAGCTTGACATCCTTCCTCCCATCAGTAGAGAACTTAGTCGTTCAGCCACTTGAATTTTATAGCAACTTTCAGCTGACTCTTTTTTTAACACAGTCCCTGACCATGAACCGTTGTTGGGTGCCCCACCCCTGTATTCAATCTCAGCAGGGATGTCTTGCCCGCAGTACACTCTGCTTGCCTGGAGGGGAAGAGCAGTCTGACCACTGCCCACGTCTCCTTTTTCCTCCATGTTGACCAGCACCACACTCTGCAGCACCAGCACGAAGGACCAGGAGTTGCACAAAGAACTCAGTAGAATTGGATTGAGAGACTCAGTCCGTCATCCAAGAAGTGTTTATTGACCATTTACTATGGGCTGGGCACTGTGACAGGCACTGGACAGAAAATGATGTAAAAGACTGTCAAGGTCATTGCCCTTAACGAGCTTGCAGTCTTGGAAGAGGGAGGGAAAGATGATTGAGACCTATACAAATAGTAGAATAGCTGTGTATTGTGATTAGAGCAATAAAGGAAAGAGTAATGTAATAGAGAATAACAGAATAGAAACCTTATCTGAGAGCAATTCTGAGGATGCTTGAAGGCTAAAGGGAAGAATGCTTTAGGCAGAAGGAAAGGGGAAAGAGCTTGTTGGGTTCTAGGACTTGGTCCAAAGGCCAGAACAACACGGGTGAGGGAGAGGCAGAGGCCAGGTGCTGCACGACTTCAGGGGCCACGGGAAGGAACCTGTTTATTCTCAACACAGCAGAAAACCATCAACAAGTTTTCAGCTGGGGAATGGCATCTGATTAAAGGATCTCTGTGCCTTCTCTGTAACAAATGACTCAAGTGGAGCAAGAGGTGGGAGATTGGTTAGAGGACATGGAGTAAGATGGTGGCAGAGAAGATGGAGAGAAATAGGTGGATATGAAATATGTTTTGGAGATAGAATTGATGGGATCAAATGATGAGTAAATGTGAAGTGTGAAGAAAAGGGGGCAGGGGGTCAAGAATGACTTCTGGCTTCAGTAACCAGACTGATGGTGGTTTCACTCACTGAGGAGGACCGAGTCAGGGGTGGCAGTGGACCGAAGAGGGCTAAGCTGAGACGCCATCAGACCTTGAAGTGGAGATGGCTGCATGAGATGGACTTAAAGTCTGGAGTGGATCAAGGTGGATGGAGAGAGGGGAGAGTGGCCTAGAGGAGAGAAAGCATGTGAAGAGAGACCCAGAGTTAATCATGAGTTTTTGCACAAGGGCTTCTGGACACTGGGCAGGGGTCACAGAACCCAGGGCCCAAGGGAGACCCAGGCATCAAGGCACCATCTTGGTTACCCAGCAGCCTGTGTCCCTCACTCAGGAACTGGGCAGTGACTGTGCTTTGGCAAGAACAAGGATGAGAATGGAATGGGATGACATGAATGCCATTTGGAGAAGTATCCCTAGGGGATGTGGCCAAACCTCCTTACAGGTTGATTAGGCGAATCTGGATAGTGATACGTAACACCCTCAATAGCTAAATCATCATTCGATAGCCTCGCATCAGCACTAAATGAGAAGATGATGGACCAGATACTTTCCTGAAGCCCAAATTTGCAGAATCATGGACTATCTGCTCTATTTCTTCTGCCCAACTCTCCCCCAGGGGAGGGATCCCGACCTGCAGCCTCAGGGGACACGCCCCCTGGGATGGACGGGCTCCCTATGTCTCAAGGCAGATGAATTCCACCGTGGAAACACACAAGTGCTAGAAGAGTCTTCATATTAACTGACACCTGCTCCTTAGTTGCCCCCTGGGAACTATTTAAAGTCTGTTCCTTCTGCCACGTAACGGCCCCTTAGGGATTGAAGGTATCCCCATAGCCCTGTGAGCCTTCTCTAGTCTAAATGTCTCCACTTCTCTTGGACGCCTCCTCAGATGACATGTGTCTTGGCCCTTCATTCTGGCTCATCCAAAATGAACCCAGGCCTCCAAGTGTGGCTGCCACCCCCAGTCCTCTGGACACGGGGCCCCCATCCCTGGGGCCCGTCATGTTCCTATTAGCAAGGATTTGTGGGCAGTCTGGTTTGAGTTTACTAGGACAGGCTTTAATGACGATGTGTCCCTGAAGCATTTTATTTTCCTATCGATGTCCTTGTGGCAGACTCTCGGTGACCACGAAAGAGCCCCTTTCCAGCGGGCTGCCAGCAGGGAGCGACAGAGAGTGCACCCGGGTTGAGTCTGCGGCACGGAGCCCAGAGATTAGCCGGGAAGACAGACTCACTTTCCTCAAGTGTCTGTCTATTTACCCACTGAGTTATACGGGGAGGGGAGAAGGCGCAAACTGAATCGTAAGGCTGCTTGCCCGAGGATGCGTTAGTGGCTTCCCACTGCTGGGTGGCACTGTGGGGCAGGACAGGCTCGCAGCCTCAGACGGGACCTGTCCCGGGCCCTCCCAACAGGACGAGCACAGGGACACAGGAACATCTATGCCTAAGTTAAATGGCTCTGAGCCGTCCCCCCTGGTACCAGCAGGAACCTGAGTCTTTGTCCGAGGATTGCCTCCCCAGACCTCCGTGAAAATTCCTGGGGCTGCTCACGTGTGTTCTTGTTCACGTGCTGCTCTTTGCCTGAAGCAGAGGCTCAGACGTGACCCTCGAAACCAGGGCATAACTTCTGAGGCCCTTGCCCCTCACTTTTCTCTCCAGGGCTTTTGCTTCCCCAGCTTCTGTGCAGCTCCTGGGGAGCCAGGGGCTGTGGCAGCAGCTGCCCGGCAAGATGCTATGTGTCCAAAGTGATGAGAGCCAGGCCCACATCGCAGGTGTCCCACCGAGACATGGTGGGACGGAGCAGCCCAGGCACCTCCTCGTGTAGCCCCTGCTGCGGACTCAGCCTTGTGTGGTGGTGGATGTGGGTGGTGATGAGTGCCGAGGTGCCTGGGATGTGGGATGGGAGCTGCTGGGCGGGGAGGGGGTGGAGTTTGTGCGAGGAGGGTCACTGTGCACAGAGGGACTCGGTGGGAGGGCCCTCGGAGACCTCTCAGGGCTTCCTCTCTCCCAGGCCTCAGGGCGCCCCAGGTAATCCTGACACACAACAGCTCCGCTTCCTATCTGGGCCCCAAAGCGGGTAATGGGATTTGCAGGCTATTTTCAAATGTCAAGGAACGTCATGGAGAGAGCATCTCTGTCTGTGATGAATGGCTCTGGCCACACTCATACCTGAAGTTTTTGGGTGACAAAAGCTTTCAAAACACAGAGTCCATAAAAGAAATAATAAAAGGCATCTTTGGGGTGAAAAGGATAGGATGTGGTCCAGCCCCTCTCTGTACAGCAAGGCTCAGTGAAAGGGCTGCTCGGCCGCCACTGGATTAGAAGCCAGGCAGGTGTCCCAGTTGGAAGTGGGAGCTGGGAGCTGGGTGGTCTCTCAGGACTCTATATTCAGGATGTCTCCCATGGGACGAACCTTCCAGATCCAGGACAGGCAGAGCAGGCAGAGGCTCCAGCATCTCCTCAGCCAGCAGCTTCCCTCCTCCTTCCCTACGAGGCTGCAGCAGGAGCCTAACCCTCAGGGGGCGGGGCCAGCAGGAGACCCTCAGCTGACCTGGGTTTCTTGGAATACCCTTTATCAATCATGCATGGGTCCCCATCACTGCCTTTGAGGGTTAAGAGATTTAAAATGAGATTGAATGTTTTTTAGAGAGGATTTGTGAAGATTGAGGGGTCTGCAGTGCTCCCACCTTGGCAGCAGGACAACTGCATCAATCCAGGGCTGTGGGGTATTTACTGGTCATTCTGGGTTAACGAGGACACCATTTCTACCTTCCAGGTTTTGCTTTGGATTTGACATGTTTAAAGGAAAATGGAGGATTTTACAGGGTGTGAAAGGGCACAGTCAGGTCACTGATTTTGATGAATGCACCACCTTCCGAGGGATATGGGACACCAAGGAGGAGAGAACAGACGCTAGCAGAACAGCTTCAGATTCTGCCACGGAGGGGCCTTTCCTACCCGGGCAGAGTGTGGGGAACTTCAAGGACTGTAGGAGCCAGTGTGTGGCAGCCAGAAGACGTGATATGGCTTATTTAAAAGAGATGAAAAGCAAGGGCTGCCAGACAAGGCGTTAGGGCAGACCTCGTCCACTTGCAGAGATCCCAGCTGATGACGTAAGCACCCAGGTGGGAGGAAGGAGCTCTCAACTGTGCCTCAACTCCCTGCCTTCTCCTGGCTCGGGCTAAAGGTTTTACATAACACCCCACAAGCACACACACTCGTGTGCGATCTCTGACCCTCATTGCCTCGGGGAACGGGTTTGAGCTGCTCACATGACAGGCTCAGACACAGATGACTTCACTGTCTGCCCCACCTGCCCAGGACCCAGGTGCCCGAGACTCAGCCGAGGCTCCTGTTCCCTGGAGCCCTGCCCCAGCTGGGTATCACTCAGTGATGCCTGGGTTGGAACCACAACACTGACCCTGCTCATTCCCCCACGGCCTCTCTGGACACTTTTATGGGTGGCGGGCTCGGGAAGGAAGCAAGGGGGTGCACGTGTCCTGATGGAAGTCTGGACATTTCAGTGGCCCGAGTGCCCAGGCAGTGGACTGTGTTCTCCAAGCTGAATTTCCCCCCAAGGCTCACCCACCTGCTTCCATTTTCTAGGCAAAGAGAATTCTCGAGTAAGTTGCAGACAGCTGGCTGCTGGCAGCGTGTATGAACTGCATATTTACTATTAATGAATATAAGCTTAAACAGATTATAAAACAATTCTCTGTGAACTTGAAAATCATGCAGTAGTTCTATTATTCTTACCTTGATGGTGCACTGCTAGTTATTCAACTAATACAGATTCTAGGGGTTCATTACCAGTAATGAGTTTCTTTCTGTGCTGCAATGTGGGGAGGGATGGTGAGTAACATGTACCTCCAAGGTAGGAACAGGACGGAAATGTTCCATGTTTGCACCAACGTGAATGCCCACCTCCAGCCCTCAGCAGTGGGAAGTTTTATGCCGGGAACCCTGTTTTTGCAACTATGTATCCCTACACATTGCAGGGTTAACCAACAAGCAACTGAGTGGATAATGATGAAGCTAAATTAATAGTAGCCTGTAGCTAATTAAAACCACAACCACTCAGGAAAGCTCGGACCCTGCAAGTGCACTCAGGTGCCGCGGACTCTCAGGGGGGCTGGGCGTCAGGATCTTCCACAGACTCTGGAAACACACTAAGAAATTTCATTTAGGCTACGTGGTGGGGAAGATGTTATTCGTTGAAAGTCCTCCACTTGTTTGCAAAACACTGCTTGGTGGGTCCTTGACTAGAAGAAGAGAGCGACAGGCCTGAATCAGAGGGAAGTGTTGAGGGAGATATGGGGTCGGGGAGGCGCGCCCATCGCTCTGAGAGAGGAAGTGAGAGGTGCACGAGATGGTCGAAACCCTCCATTTGTAACATGACCTCTGCGTCAACATCCCTGTTATGGACTGAATTTTATCCCCCCTCCCAGTTCATATATTGAAGCCCCAATCCCTAATGTGACTGTATTTGGTGGTGGGGTCTGGAGGGAGGTAATTAGGTTAAATGAGGTCATACGGGTGGGGCCCTGATCCAATGGGATGGAGGTCCTTATAAGAGGAGACATAGGAGAACTCCCTGTCTCTCCCTGCTGTATGAGGCTACAGTGAGAAGGCACAGTCTGCAAGCCAGGAAGAGGTCCCTCACTGGGAACCAACCCTGCTGGGCCTTGATCTTGGACTTCCCAGCCTCCAGAACGGTGAGAAAATAAATTTCTGTTGTTTGGGTTACATGGTCTGTGTTATTTCATGATGGTAGCCCAAGCAGACTAATTCAATCCCCTGCCTCTATTGATCTCCCCCTCCTCCCGACTTGCAAAGTGCCTGAGTGCACGGGGTGGGGATGGAGCCAAACGGGCTGGGCTCTGTGCTCTGAGTGCCCCTGAGGTAGGCTCAGGTAGACCCAAGAGCAGAGTGAGAGGTGGTGGGAGCCCAGAGGCAGAGAGAGGCACGGGAACTTGGAGAGGGCTCTGGAATCCCTCCCACAGGCCATGTAACTGAAATGTGAGGCAGCTGGGAGCTCAGGTGAGAGCCAGGAGGCACACGTAAGTATTAGCATTAGCAACCTCGAAGGCTTACATCGCTTCGCATTGGTAAAGAAGCCCGGGGTGAAGGAAGACAGGGAGGAGGGGAATGCATGTGATTCGTGGCTAAGAGCCAGAAAAGGGCCTGCGCGCTTGGACTGGTGGCAAGAGGAGGACCCTGAGCTCCTGAGGCTACAGTCACAGCCCCTCTTGACAACCACTGCTGGAAGGTAGGAGTCCCAGGATGTACCTAGGAGGGAAGCAGCTTGGGCTCTTCCAGCTCAGGACAGTTGTGCTTTTCCAGGGGCTCCAGGCCCCACTTCCTGCTGCCTGGGCCTCTGCCGCTGGGATGAGCCATCTGCGAAGAGGGTCTTTCCCAGTGGCAGTGGAGCCAGTGTGACCTGGTGATGCTTTGAGCCGTCGGACCTGAGGCCATCCTAGGCTCCTTGTGGCAAGCCCACCCCCCCGCCCATTCCCTACCTTTCTTCCCTCATATTCTTCCCAGCCATGCCTGGCCTCAGCCCGGCCCTCACACTGTCACTGCCATCCTCTGCCAGGCACTGCCCCCCCTCCATCCCTGTGCCTTTATCCCCGGGGTTCCCAGGAGGGTGGCAGTAGGGATGTCTTACCAACATCACCTGGGAAGCTTTCTCAGCATCCATGTGTGCTGGGCTCTCCACGTGTAGCCGCGCCCTCACAGCGTGGCTTTACTGTCTATCTCCCCGCCCCTGAGCCCGGGCTGGCCTGTGACGTGCTTCAGCCAGTCGAATGTGGCTGGAAGTGACTCATGTCATTTCTGAGCTGAAGCTTCCAGAGGCCTCGTGTGCTTCCATTCACACTCTTGCTCCCCTGCCTTCCCATCAGAACAAGCCCAGATCAGCCTCCTGGAGGATGAGAGACCACGCGGCATGGAGCCCAGTCATCTAAGCTGAGGGCCCAGTCAAGGTCAGTGGAGGCCCTCAGACTTGGGCCTGTCTACGGGGCTCTTGGCGGGGGGAGTGACACACAGACTCTGCCGCTGTCAGAGCACTTGTGCAAACCCCCTGCTCTGGGGCCATCTTTCCCGCTGACCTTCAGGTTCCTGGTGAGCCCTCCTGGCTGCCTCCATGCCGGCCCTCATCTTCCCAAGGGCCGTGCAGGGCTTCCCAGAGTGACTGGCCGGTGAGAGGGTCCCAGAGCATGTGGAGGGGCCGGCACCCAGGCTGGTCTGGCACGGTCTCCGCCTCTCTGGCCGCTTGGCCTGCACGCTCTCTGCAGTTACCAGAGCAAGCTCAGTTAGATGTGATCTTGGTGCGCCTTTTCCAGAGGAAGGTTTTAAAAGTGAAGCGGTGCTCTTGGCTGTGAGAGGCCATCGTAAGAGCCTGCAGTGGGTGACCCTGAGCGCAGCTTGGGGCAGTGGGGGAGATGGCGCCTGTCTGAGTCGTGCAGACCGTGGGCGCAAGACCGGCTGACCTTTGCCCAGGCCTGTGGGTTGCAGCGACCGGGCTGCGTGAGGAGCAGGTCTCAAACCCCAATGCCCGGCACCAAAGAAAGGCACACTGTCTCCAGACCCCTCTTCTGAGTGCCTGCATTTCTACTAGTTTCTAACTGGGAGGCAAGGTGGCAAGGGTCTTCCTGACAGACCGTGGTGTCTACTGCTCGCGTTGGAGCCCAGGCGTAGTGAGAATGCAAAGTATGGGGCAAGCTTCCCCTGCCCCACTCCCACCCACTCCTTCCCAGGCCAAGCATCAGCCCAGGTCAGAAATACCGGATCTTGGTCTAATTAACCTATGTGGGTCACTAGAAGCCCCCACCCTTTCCAGAGTGGGCTCCTCCACCCCTACAATGGCCTGATGGTGTTCACAGAACTTGGCCTGAGCCCTTACGGCAACAGGGAGCTCATTACCTTACAGGACAATCTGCTTTTCTGTGTGATTCCAGCTGTTAGAAAAGACTTTTTTTTAAATTTAATTTATTTTTCTATACAGCAGGTTCTTATTACTTACCTATTTTATACGTATTAGTGTATACATGTCAATCCCAATCTCCCAATTCATCCCACCACCACCACCTCCCCTGCCACTTTCCCCTTGGTGTCCATACGTTTGTTCTCTACATCTGTGTCTCTATTTCTAGAGACTGTCATACAGAGTGAAGTAAGTCAGAAAGAGAAAAACAAATATCATATACTAATGCATATATGTGGAACCTAGAAAACTGGTACAGATGAACCAGTTTGCAGGGCAGAAAAGCCTTCTTATTACTCTAAAATCTTCCTCCCATCCATTCTCCCTGTATCAGTTTCCTAGGGCGGCCGAAGCAAATGACCACAAAGTCGGTAGCTTAAAAGGACAGAATTCTCACGGTTCAGGAGGCCAGGAGTCCAAATCAAGGTGCTGGTAAGGCCATGCTGTCTCTAGAGGAGGATGCTTCCTTGCGCCCCCTGGCTTCTGGTGGCTCCTGGTGCTTCTTGGCTTGTGGGAGCATCACTCCAATCTCTGCCTCCCTCTGCACTTGGCCTCCTCCCTGAGACTCTGTGTGTCCTCTCCTCTTCTTATAGGATTTAGGGCTATGGTTTAATCTAGAGAGCCTTCACTAATTACATTGCAAAGACCCTCCCTATTTCCAAATATGGTCACATTCTGAGGTTCCAGGTGGACATGAATTTCAGGGGTGGGGGGGATGCAATTCAACCCACTACACTCCCCCGTGGTCCATCCTCTGCCCCTGTCAGCCCAACAGAGATCTGACAACATCAGCCATGCCCCTGGCTTTGTTTCACAACAAGCTGCCCCATTGCTTCTCTTACCGTCTCCTCTCCTCATCCCAGTTCATGGTCTCCAGACCCATCACTCTCCTGTTCATCCCACTCTGGACCACCCAGGGTGTCAAAGCCTCTGAAAATATGGTCCTTGAAACTGAGCCCATCATTGAAGCCATGGCTGAACAGTGGGACCGAAGCAAACCTCCCGGCCACTCCTCATGGCTGGGCGCACTCTGGCACTGGTTGCCTGTGGTCACGGCACACTTGCCTGGGGCTTCTAGGGTCTTTCTCCAGCCCCGTTTTTCACGTGAGCTGCCTGGTCTCCTCCGTCTTCAACTCCAGCAGTTCCTTTTTTTTTATTGAAGTATAGTTGCTCTACAATATTATATGAGTTACAGGTATACAATATAATGATTCACAATTTTTAAAGGTTATACTCCATTTATAGTTATTATGAAATATCAGCTACATTCCCCATGTTGTGCAATATATCCTTGTAGCTTATTTTATACCTAATAGTTTGTACCTCTTAATCCCCTCCCCCTACTTTATCCCTCCCTCCTTCCCTCTCCCCACTGGTAACCACGAGTTTGTCCTCTATATCCATGAGTCTGCTTCCTTTTTGTTATTCATTAGTTTGTTGTATATTTTAGATTCCACATATGTGATATCATACAGTATTTGTCTTTCTCTGTCTGACTTCTTTCACTTAGCATAATGCCCTCCAAGTCCATCCATGTTGCTGCCAATGGCAAAATGTCATTCCTTTTTGTGGCTGCGTAGTATTCCATTGTGTGTGTATGTATATCTTCTTTATTCATCTGTTCATGGATGCTTAGGTTTCTTCTATATCTTGGGAATTATAAATAATGCTGCTATGAACATTGGGGTGCACGTATCTTTTGGAATTAGTGTTTTGGGTTTTTTTTTTTTAATACCCAGGAGTGGAATTGCTGGGTCATATGCTAGTTCTATTTTTAGGTTTTTGAGGAACTTCCATACTGTTTTCCACAGTGACTGCACCAGTTTACATTTCTACCAACAGTGTACTAGGTTTCCCTTTTCTCCACATCCTCGCCAGCATTTTTTGTGTTCTTTTTGATGGTAGCCATTCTGGCCGGTGTGAGGTGATATATCTCATTGTGGCTTTGATCTGCATTTCCCTGATGATTAGCGATGTTGAGCATCTTTTCATGTGCCTCCAGCAGTTAATTTTTTGACCAGAAATTCAGGATGTTGCATTTGCCCCTGTGAGGTCCCACCTTGAAGGTCTGGATGTGGTACTTCGGCCTCAAGAATGGAGAATTTCGGCCTGGTGTTGCCCTGTGCTTCTCCCTTAAGGCCTCGCTTGGGGAAAGCACTGAGGAGAGTTGTCTAAACGCTCAGCTTTTCATGCCTTGGGCCTGAATAGGCTGTTTTTTCTCCCCTCCCGACCCTTAAGTCTGCTCCAGGCATCCCCAAGCCAGCTCCAAACTCAGACCTGGCCTATGGGAGGGGCAGCTGGCCTGGGCTGGCCTCCTCCTGCCTTCACTGGCCACAGCTGCAGCTGGAGCCCGTGGGCTATTCTGTTCCTAAAGCTGAAGGACCCCAGTCAGAAATTCAGGGATAACAGACACCTGCCTCTGCTTGGGGTCCCCCACCCAGGGCTCCGAGTCCTCATTGAAGAAAACAGACACACAGGATTGAGTGCTTGGTC